TGAGTGAGTGAGTGAGTGAGTGAGTGAGTGAGTGAGTGAGTGAGTGAGCATTTTATCAGCATTTTCTTTTTTAAATTAAGAGATGGATGAAGAAATGAACATTTATTTCAGTATCGCAGTATTTATGTAGTCTCGATGATTCACACAATATGACGACCGAACCATAATACTTCGTGATTATAACATTGAACTCCTTTGAGCTTCTTGAAACCTCTTGTAACTTATCTTATTCATGATACTGTGAAATACAAATGATTAGCAAATAAATCTTTTCTTCTGAATATTGCCTATGGTACTGTCTGTACATTTCCCGTTCTCATATTTGTTTCTGTCTCACGCTATGACGTATGTGTAATATGTCAAATACTTAATTACAGTTTATTTGAATATTTAATTCTTTGTCCCATCTGCTGATAAATCTATTGGATAAATAAAAGAGTAAAAGAGTGAGAACATACGAGAGTAAGATCATGATCTATGATTACTCATAATCTAATCAAAAATTGATGTTGAGAATGAGTCCGAGTACATCATCAAATTGTGGATATAAAGATATGCATATATTTTATGTATATACTACTGAAAAATAACATTATTGGAACGATCGCTGGCGCTAATTTCGACCTGTGATTGGCCATGATTGATATCTTAATACTCTTATTTTTAAGTAGAATTTCAAATAAGCAAAAATGGATTAATCAGTAGTGGCTCTCCATCACCCCTTTTTCTATGCTTCCCGTACAGCATAGACTTTCAAAGGACGTTCTAAAGACAATCAAAAGATGTCTTACATCTTGAAAATGTTCCTTAATAAAGTATAATATGCTGTGCAGGCTTTATTTTTTATTTTTTTATTAATTATTTTTAGTATAATTTATTTTATTAAATTGTTATAAATATACAGCTCTACAAATACTTTTTAAAGTTATCACAATATATATAAAAATTGTTTAATAATTTTTACATACTTGTAAAAGCGACGAAAATTAAAGTATATATTTTAAATAAAAAAATTAAAAAAGTTATTTAGTATTTATTACTTTAAATAACTACATTTTTTACTTATTTCTTATTTAATATTTTAAATAAGTTTCCTATTTTATATTTTTTATTTTAAATAATTCGTATATTATTTTCATCGAGCTGTGATCAGCATCATACGTATGTTTAAAGAATTTCTGAATCACAGAATAATTTGCAGTAGTAGTAGTGTCTTAAATTAATTTATTAACTGAAAAATTAAATAACGATTAACAAGCATTTAGTATTTTTAATCAAACCTGTATTTAGCACAAATTGTTTCACGCTATTAAGATTTTTTGCGTTTATCTTTATATATAAAGAACGTGTGTATATAGAATAATTTATCAATCTTTATTTAAGAAATGAATTATTAAAAAGAATAATGAAAATTGAGACATAATGTTGAAATATCAAAAATACTCCACGCGAATAATTACTAATTATGTTTAAAAGAATCATGCAGATAATATAGGATTGTGCCAGAAATGCCACAAAGCAAAACGCGAAATGTACGGCGGTACCCGTTTGTCAAAATATGAATTTGAAAAAATAATTGAATAAACCGTGAATATTTTTCATGCGCAATAGTAGGGTATTCGCCCGGTGAATGCGCGAACAGCGAAGGAAGAGGTAACGCGTCACGCAGCGAATAGGGAGGGGGAGCTTGCCGTGCGGCGCGGTGGTTGACTACGTCATCACTTTGGCATTCGCTCGGCGATCTCGGAGGGAGACGTACATGTTTTCGAGTTGCTCCACGTGTCGCATTAATTAATAGCAATTAGATATCTACGAACGCGAATTACATAAGACTGCCTAAAACTAAGGAGTATATTAAGGATTAAAAAGGATTATAGGTTGTATTGCACGTTTTTCCCTTTATTTTTTACCATATACATTCATTACTCATGTACACAGCTCATGAATATTTCAAATATTTCATGTGTTCTCAGATGTACGGTAACTAACAATAAAAATGAGATTCTTATTGTTAGATATTTCAAATTGTGGCTTTTTATTACTTTGAATCGTATAATTCTGTCATTTTCGTGTTACTCCGCATTCTTAATACGGGAAAAGTAACACATAAATTATAAATCACAGAAAAAAATAATAAAAATTAAGTTATAATGTTGGGATGTCAAAAGTACTTCACGTGAGCAATTATAGAAAAATCACTTTAGTAAAAACTTTTTTTCACTTCTTGCCTTTCGTGAACACATTGTAATATTGATACGAAATATTTAAAATTATATAAAATTAACGTCAAATATATATTCCTCGGTGTATCACAATATAATTATATATGATATCACATTAAACGACTCGCGCCGTTAAAAGTAGATACATATAAGAAATAGTTTTATTAAGCGGAGAACATTAAAAATGTTAAGAATATATTATTTTACTTCGTAATATACGTTAACATTTCAACAATTAGACGATGGCGCGCGACCTTGGGGTGGGGATGGCACGGGGTGGCACGGAGCGGCGCGTCATGTTTACGTTTACGTCTTTACGCGTAGTTACCGCGCAGTCGTTCCCTTACCGACATTCGTACAAGCAGGTAGTCGAGTCGCGTGCGACTCTTTCACATTACTTTTTGAAATCTTATCGCGAAGAATGCCAAATATAATACGAAACGTTGTACTTTATAAATAATTAATCATACTAGTAATCGTATTATGTGAATATTCATAAAATACAACATTTCGTATCTAGCATTTATATCTAGCATTTTTTGCGATTATTATATATGTTTCAAAGAGAAATGTGAAGAAGAGCGGCACGCGACACGGCTACTTGTCTGTACGAACGGTGTCATACGAGTCATAAAAAAAGCACGTTAATATGAATATTCTCTATACAAATAACGCAATTGCTGCTTTCACAATTAATATAGTTAAATGATTTAATTAATTTTTTGTTCGTGTACATTTTTCGTGTGTTATACGATCCGTTATACGTTTAAAAATTATACGTCACAATCTTTTTATCTGCTCTGAATTTATTTCGCAATGAAAACGAATTGCAGATAATTGCAGACGAATTGTTTGATATTCGTTTCTAAAAGTTAACCGATTGCATAGTAATTGCATAGTAATATAGATATAATTATATATCACATTTTTTAGATTATCTTCCCTTTCACGGATACGATCTTGACGTGGTGGGAGAGCTCAGTATCCAGAGGACATTTACATGAAAAAAATGGTTTTTCTCAAGTATCTAAAAATTTTTCTATCTGAATAATATATCTAGATAAATTTTTAGATATTGAGTAAAATCGTTCTCTTCGTGTAAAAATCCAAAGGGGAAGTAAATTCTCGTCGATTTACTTGAAAATGAACGAACCGCAGCCGATTCGTCGCGTCGCGCGTTTATTTCGGGAGTGCCGTTCAAGTTATCGGACTCAAGTTATAGTTCGCGCGCGATTATAGTATATTATTCGCGAGTGTCCTGTGCGAGAGGATGTCAATCCTATGCTGAGAGGAGGAGGAGGCCTGGGAGAGGCATCAGGCATCGGCGGAGCAACTTTGCGGTAAATATTATTTTTTACTTATGTAACATCGATATTTTTCTTCTGTTAAATTTATTCTTGAGTAGTTTTATTTTAATTTAAAAATGATAATTAGAATAAAAGGATTATTTTAAAATTATTTTGAAACTTTATATACGTATTTTTAAAAAAATGTATAACTATTTTTATAAATATAACTGAATGGTAAATTAAAAAATTCAATGCTTATAAAAATTATATATTTTAAATATTATATGATTTTATTTTCTAGAGAACTTTGCATTTAGTAAATATTTTTTGAAATATTGATTGATTTTTTTAATAATCTGTATTTTTAATTTAGATTTCATATTCTTTTTGTTACAGAATCATCGTAGCAACGTTGCTGGTATAACTCCGCTGTTGCGCATTGGATTGGTGAGTGATAAATTAATGTTTTTATTAGGGTAATGGATGTGTGTAATTTTATTAATTACCATAGATCTATCGATGCATATGCATCGATAGATCAATTTATTAAAAATATACGGATAACTGTACGTATAGTATTCCATACATCTATCACCTTAAAATGGATCAATTTTCTCGTCAAATTTAGTATGGCCGGTGTTTTTTTGGTGCATACTTAACGTATAACACGTAATGCATAAGAAAGTGTATCAATCAATGTTCTTTGTTTCCTTCCTTTCCTTTTGTATAAAATAAAGAACTGTGATGGTTGGTTTTCTTATGTTTTATGTGTTATACGTTATGCAAGAATCTGTACTCCCCGCTTAAGCTTGTAAAGCTGGTTCTACATTAGTTGTAAGCTGATCGCAATCTGAAGCTTGCATTTTGAAATCAACGCTTCATATGACTGTCACAACAAACTTGCAATCGGCTTGCAACTAATGTAGAACCGGTTTAAGGTTTTCTTGAATTCGGGTGGGTGTATGTCTGGGTGGGTATATGTCTGGGTGGGTGTCGAAGACAGAAAGATGCCGTCTCGAATTAAATCCTAATTATCGCGTAAATTAAACTTTTAATAAAGCTCCTAAACAATGAAAAAATCGACTGTATCTATATTACATTCACATGAATGTAGTACAGGATAGAAGCGTACAGACTATTCATATGAAGGGAGAGTCGGCACGTTTCTATCTTAGCTGCATTCGCTTAATGAACAATCAGGATGAAACAACGCTTAAAGCGTTGTATGTAATATAGACATGAACCACATCTACTTTGGACGATACGATTTTATCGACAGTGTCAGAAAGTGGATGTAGTTACGTAATTCCCAAACCATCTCAACCGAAAATGGATGTACTGGCGATAGTGTACGAGTGATTTCGATAACAGGAAAATTTGGCTAGAGCACTATAATATAGGTATTTATATCCGTCATTTTTAGTCCTTCTTCACTCTTTGTTCTCTCTTCAATCTTCTTAGTTTAGTGGCGGAGTGGAGAGAGAGAAAGAGAGAGAGAGAGAGAGAGAGAGAGAGAGAGAGAGAGAGAGAGAGAGAGAGAGAGAGTTTGAGCAAGGGATTGAGGAAAGGGTTAAGAGAGTAAGAAAAGGACTAAAAATGACGGATGCGAATACTCATAGTGTTTTACCAAAACCTGTAATCTGTACCCACAAAATGCTGCCGCGCACGCCGCCCTCTGAAGAAGTGGATGTGAACTACATAATAATATCCACTTTCCTATCTTTTTTGCGGTGCTCCTGATAGGAATAGATAGTTGAAATCGCTAAAATAACTAAAATTTACTAAATTAATAAAGATTTCAACGATTTCAGCGATTTATTTCGATCAGAAGCACTGCAAAAAGGCGGTTGTTGTTATGTAGTTAACATTCACTTCTTCAGAGGACAGTAGTGTGCGGCAGCATTTTGTGGTTACAGATTTTGAGCCATTATGTCTTCTCTCAGGTTTCTCCTTGGTTCTGTTTATTAGTGTTTTCATTGTGTTTTCATCATGTGATATTAACGGTTAGAATTTTTTTTGTGAAGATTTTCATTTTTATTTAATATTTTAATTTTAATCTTACTGATTAATGTGATATTATCACAAGTGATATTATACAAGTAATTATTCAATAGATCTTACTTCCGATTTTGATAAATTTAAGCTCATTCGATCTGTTTTTTAAATATTAATTGAGATAGACAGTTTGTTACTACTGATAACATATTTCAGGTAAATGGGAATACTATTAAGACAATACGATTAACCATGTCATTAATGGATGGGATTGCACATAGTATAGCAAAAACAGTTATAAACATAAACATTTTGAAACTAATAGAAGATGATCTTGATATAGATGAGAAGATTTCTATATTATTCATGATACTCGATTATGCAAATGGATTTAATATTTTTGAACTTTTTAAATTAAAGACAGAAAATGCGTACATAATTGTAGACTATGTAAAAAATAATCCAGAAAATTGGGAAGAAAAAGTCTTAGAAGCATTATGTATTTTGAATAATCGACAAGTACTAAAGAAGTTAGGAATATCATTCAGTGCTCTAGATTTACAGTATGTTCCAAAGCTCATATCATATTCAAAAAGTATAAATGTAATTGCAAAGTGTTTATATAAATTATGTGAATCTTTAAATGAAAGTGAACAAAAAATATTATTGAGCTATGTTAAATCTGAAATCCATAATTATGATCCATTGTTGGACAATGTAGATTATCTTGAATTACATATGCTTTATTGGATACAAATCGGATATATAACAATTTCTAAAGGTATGTTTACTTTAATATATATAATCTTTGAAAAGAGTATTATATGAGTAAAAAAGTAATGATATTAAAAAAAATTTTATAATTTTTGAAAAAAAATATTTCATTTACATATGTAAAGCAATACATTGTAACTTATTTAAAACTATATATTTTATAAAACTAATATATATATATATTAGTTTTAGAAGAACAATTTTATTTAATTATCTTATATATCTTTATGTGTGTGTGTGTGTGTGTGTGTATATATATATATATAT